CCCTTTCCGGAAAAGGGATGCTAATGAGACCAGTCGGAATTGCAAATGCCGCGGGGGATTTAAATATCCCCCACGGCATTTGCATGAACATGGCTGCCGCTTTTTTCCGGCTCGGGGTTTTGCCGGAGAAAAGCACCAGTCTAGATGGGATCTTGCGGAAAATAAGTCCTTTTCCAGAAGATCCCTTATTCCTACTTTCAAGTAGGGATCTTCCGGAAAAGGGCTTATTTTCTGCAAGATCCCGTCTAGACTGGCGCTTTTCTCCGGCAAAACCCCGAGCCGGAAAAAAGCGGCAGCCATGTTCATGCAAATGCCGTGGGGGATATTTAAATCCCCCGTGGCATTTGGAATTCCGACTGGTCTCATTAGTATCCCTTTTCCGGAAAAGGGTGCCAATGTAGACACAGCTGCTCTGCCTTGTAAGGGGAAACCTACAAGGGCCCCAAAATCCACTAGCCCGAGCCCCCCTAAGCTCTGATGTGCGAGAGGAATGTGGGGAAGTGTCCTTCTGCTTCTTATTCAGGGGCCATGTCAGTGAGCGTGGTTTGTTGTTTTTGCTTCTCACTTTTGTGAGGTCCCCAAATGATTTTTCCATGGGTCAGTGGCCCCCGACCCAAAAAAGGTTCCCAACCTCTTAACGTATGATAAGCGGAAGCTTAGAAGGTGGCTTAGAAGGCATTCTTGAGCAAACACACACAAACAGAGAGACTCACGCACAGACAAACTTTCTCAAATATATAGGAGATAAATGTAAATTGGATGCTATTACTGTTTAACAGTGCGATTAAAACGGCAATTGATACAATTCATCACAACATTAATTTTAATTGAGTTAATGTGTTTTGAGTTAATCACTTAAGTTAACTGCAACTGCCAGCCTTAGTTAAGACATAGTTTGCAGAACCAATTTCTCAATATCATGACACTGCTTCTTGAAACAGAGTGCTCTGGAGAGGCACAGAAAAGAAAAGCCTTGTTCTCACTCCATCTGACACACAGGATTTTCCCAGGAAACAATTGTGGTTTAACTAGTAATTAAAAGCTGCCACAGAATAATGAAGTTTGGAAGCCTTCCCTACAGTTTGAGGGATGACAACAACATTTTACATTTAGTGCCGTTCCCATTTTAAGCCGTAATGTTTTGCATGCTAACACCACTTAGATGCAGCCAATTCTGGATGGAGAGTAGCAGCCAACCAGCACACTGAACTGCACTACAATAGGAAGAGAAATTCATCAGGCAAACACTTAGGGTACGTCTAAACTACATGGCTCCGTCGACGGAGCCATGTCGATTTGTCGGCTCAGCGCGGCAGCCATGTAAATGAAGCCGCGATAATTTAAATCGCGGCTTCATTTGCCTTTGCCAAAACAACAAATCGACATGGCTCCGTCGACGGAGCCATGTCGATTTGTCGGCTCAGCGCGGCAGCCATGTAAATGAAGCCGCGATAATTTAAATCGCGGCTTCATTTGCCTTTGCCAAAACAACAAATCGACATGGCTCCGTCGACGGAGCCATGTCGATTTGTCGGCTCAGCGCGGCAGCCATGTAAATGAAGCCGCGATAATTTAAATCGCGGCTTCATTTGCCTTTGCCTATGTGTCTAATCTACATGCCTCTGACGACAGAGGCATGTAGTCTAGACACAGCCTTACAGTAATTTTACAGAAAGGGCCACAAAATCTCTAGGGCAGCCTCCTTGCCCCTTATGATGTCACTTTGCCTGCACAGAGAGGCTAAGTCTAGACTGGCATGATTTTCCGCAAATACTTTTAACGGAAAAGTTTACCGTTAAAAGCATTTGCGGAAAAGAGCGTCTAGATTGGCATGGACGCTTTTCCACAAAAGCACTTTTTACGGAAAAGCATCTGTGCCAATCTGGACGTGCTTTTCTGCAAAAAAGCCCCAATCGCCATTTTCGCAATCGGGGCTTTTTTGCACAAAATAAATCTGAGCTGTCTACACTGGCCCTTTTGCACAAAAGCTTTGTGCAAAAGGACTTTTGCCTGAATGGGAGAAGCATAGGATTTCCGCAAGAAGCCCTGATTTCTTATATGAGATCGTCAGTGTTCTTGCGGAAATTCAACTTGCCAGTCTAGACACGGCCAGAGGGTATGATACCACTGAATCCCAATGGCGGTATTTACCACTCACTTTACAGAGGTACCAAAGAGTGCACAAGGGGAACAGCAATATCGAATACAGCCTGTAAGGACAGAACCTTGACCCTACTGAGCATCCTTTTCACTATGCCAGGAGCACAAAACAGCCTTCAAGTTGGCCAATTTGGGCAGCTCAGGATCCCTAGGGCATGAGGTGCTGGTGGAGGGGAGGGGGACCAGAACTTGCTATTGCAACAGCCATTTGGGCCACAATCAGCTGCAAAATGACACACTGGCCACAGAGTTTATGTGACAAGGCCAAACTGGATCCCCAGCCCAGGAAATCCAAGGAGTGCAAACATGTCACACAGACACCATTGCCCTCCCCACAGAGTCATGCACCAAACCCAGCTCAGCTGGACCCAGATATCAGGCAAGTTTTTGATTTTTAAGGGGACCTGTGTTTGTCCCTTACTGGTGATGCTTAAGAGGACCTGAAATTATTTTAGCATCACCCTTTTTACTGCTATTATTGGCTAATCCTCAGGTAGTATAAATGGGATTAGCTCTGCTGACACTGCTTTACTTCCGCTGAGGATCTGGCCCATTAAATCTTACCTTCCCTCAGAGAAGCAGAGGATGGAGGGGGAGCTCTAAAGAGGACTTTGTCAGGAGCTTGATTTACATAAGCACCAAGAAAAGCAAACAAAACCCAAAGAGGCCTGATTCCCTGCTGGTTTATTCCAGTTTTACACACATGCAACGACACTGATTTTATACCACGCGGGCAGAGAGAGGAGGAGAGACAGAGCAGCCACGGACCAGTCACCCTTTGATTTGGACATCCGAGCTGGCTGAGCAGTCAGAGAGAAGCACATCTGATCCCGGGAAGTGAGCAGCTGTGAGAAATCTCCCAGCCGGCCAGGCAGCTCTATCCATGACAGGGGGAGGCTGAAATGGCATGACAGAGCACTAAGCAGCAGCTAACAAATATCACACCACCCTCAGACAAATACGTACCGACGTAGTTTTCAACGTCACTGACATAGAATGTAGGGGCAGGGACCGCTAAGCCCAATCCGTCCTTCTTCGGAACCAGGATAGGTTCTGTGAATCCGTTTTCTTCCAAGTACTCTGGGGTTAGCTGGCTTCCATTCACTTTGACTACCACATCTTCAGCACTAGAAATACAAACACAGTTACTGTACTAAGGTATTTCACATCCCATTGAAACTCAATGGAAATTAAAACTCCCGTAAGCATCTTTAAAAATTAGAAGTGTTCTACTGAAGCTAATATGTCAAATAAAAGAAGAGAACAGATAGAGACAGAGAGACTGTGTGTGTATGTGTGTATTTGAGATACTTTTTCAACAGCAAGTAGCTGTATGTTTTCTCACTCTCTTTTTCACACACACACATGCACACACACACACGCAGAATCTCTCCCCTCTTCCCCTTTTACTTATTTTGTTTACCCAACACTTCTAGCTTACAACTTTTCCCAGGTAAATTTAAGAGACAAATTCTTCTTTCAGTTCCAGAAGAGGGTATAATTCTGCCCAAGAACTGCAGTTATTCACTGGTAAGTAAGCATATGTGAGAATTCTCCCACCTGGCCCGGAAGCTCTGTCCATGACAAAGTTCTTTGCATATTGCCACTAACACTATTATATTTCTTTTCCAAAATCCACTCTCTTGAATGAGAGTTCTAAGTGGTCAGGGCATCTGAGAACTGGGACAGAAACTTTAATCTGCAAGAAGATGAGCTCAACCCAAGAATAGTAATAAACCTTAAAGTCTTTGAAATTCATTTGTAATAGCTAGAAATGGGAAGGGTGCACTTTGTGTAGTCATTCACATCTTTTCAAGTAGAACATAAAATGCTGCCATATTAATAGAATAGCATTTTAAACCCACGTTGAATAGATTTAAGTGACTGTATAAGGTGCAAGGTAATGGAGAATCAGGTCTCTTCGGGTACATCTACAGCAGGGCTAAAGTCAAATTAAGGTACACAACTTCAGCTATGTCAACTGCATAGTTTACATTGAAATAGCTTAATTCGACTTTTGGCGCTGTCTACACAGCAGAAAGTTGAAGGAAGAACACTCTTCCTTCGACATCCCTTACTCCTTGTAAAATGAGGGTTATCATGGGTCAGAGTAAGAAGTCCTCCAGTTCACCTTCATTTCGAAATAAAAGCTTGTAGTGTAGACATGCTCTTTGTTATTTTGGCATAACGTCAGTTATTCTGAAATAACGCTGCTGTATAAACATAGTCTTTGTGACTAGACAGCTAACTGAATTTCACTGAACTCTATTTAGGTTCAGATTTGAATGCAACACTCCAATTATATGCATAAGACTGAAATCCTAAATCAATTTATTGCAAAATATGTGAAGCATTCTAAAATCTTCTGGAATAAATTAATGAGTCCAAACTGCTGAAAATATTAAAAGTAGCACTGTGTTTATGAACCAGTTTCAATGGGTATGAAAAACAGTCACTTATCAGTGCTCAAAGCAGACAAACTGACAATGTTAATTACTCCAATTTAAAGACACCAACATTGAATATGTTATGTGACCTTAAGAAAAACTGTTCACTTATACGCTTTAAAACTCATGGTCAAACACTAAGACAGTGTTATGATAATTTACCAAAACTGATACAATGCAGCAGTTTTACCAAATTTAAATAAACAAAGCTCAGAAGTTTCAGAAATTCAACCTATGGAACTGCTCACTGCTAAAATATTTTAACAAATATTTTCAAAGGCATGATTGCTGTAAACATTATTAAAGACTCCATGACTACACGTCCCCATATAGTAATGGTCCTATAATAAAAAATGCTATTTTCTCCTCTGAGTCTACCAAGGCAAATGGGGAAATTAGTTACTTGGAAGGTTATGAAGATTCTTTAAGCCCATGAAGATATATTTAATAGTGCACTACTGCATATACTAATAGATCTAGCCTCCCCCATTCAGTGGTCACACAGGCAGCAACAGCCTTAATATATCTTGGAAGATTCATACACGTGTTGATGGGTGAGGGAACAGATTACAGACCCTTGCATGGGCCAGAAACACTTGAGACTAATGCTTGACTGCCCTCTTCTGTGTTAGTTCTGAACTACAGCTGACTGTGTAAATAACAGCGGATGTTTTCACATGGTAACCAAGGAAAGGGCACTATATCTCTATTGAATGAAAGAAACAGGTGAAGTCCAGAACAACTTACTCAATTTACTGCAGCTTCTCACTGTGTTAGTGCACAAGACACAACTACTGCATATCCTGACAGGAGTTCTTTGCGGAGAGGTGGGTTTGCTTTGCATCTTTCTTTGTCACGCTAATCGGGACATTTAGAATGGGATTGCAAAGTTGAAATGATACAGGTGCCTTAGTACCAGGATCGAGGGAGGGAGAGTTTGTGTGGGGGGGAGTGAATCTGGAGATCAGGCTCCATCGAGGATAGCTTATTGCCAGTGGGAAGCAGGAGAAAGTAGAATTCTTAGCTTCCCCCAGGATTCATGAACCCAACAGAAAGCAAGAATTTTACTGACGCAGTCTTTAGCCAGATGACGGTGGCCAGGAATAGATAATTGGATACAAATAGGAAACAGATGAGGAACATGGCCAATCAGTTCTAAATATTGAGTAAATCAGTAAAAGATGGTCAAGAGGTAAACTGATCAATTCCCATTGGGAACAGCTCAGAAGGGAGAGAGACTCAGTGCACAGACAAATGCTGGCACTGGGAGAGGATTTTGTCAGCAAGCCCACATATAAAAGCCTGCATCCTGATGATACCAAATCCATACGATATGTTACCAGGCATATGTTCGTGTAGCAGATCTTACTCCCTTGGCAGATACAGTTTAAGCCATGGCTAGTAAGGACCATGCTTGTCAAGCCCCATAGGGGCTGCTAATGTGCTAACAGTGAGCCTGGAGATTCTGATCTAAGAACTAAATAATAAGTCAGGGAGGCAATTCTCAGAGATGGCCTTCTAAGAAACCAAGTGCTGATACATGCTATTAGTCCTAGATAGATATTGGAAGCGGATGAATTAGTGGTTTTTATACTTTAAGGAACAATGATACTGCCTGACATAAAAGATACTTGGCTAAAGATGAGCTCCACCTAAACTCTTTGCAACCGGTGAGTTGAAGAGGAGCTATTTAAGTACGAGTAAGACGCAAATAAAAAGTACAGGACAATGTTAAATGGAATGAACCAAATTTACCTGTCACAGGTGTAAGCAGGTGCAGGGCCCATAAAATTCATGAGTGAAGAAAGTTATACTGTGGCTGTTAATAGGAGGTAAAGGGGATGTAAGAGACATAAACTGTGCAACTTGTGCCTATTTGGGAATGCAAAATGAGGGTGATCTTCATGTTAAGGAGATGGAAATGGGAGAGATGTAGCAGAAATAGCAATAGGAAAATGCCAAATAAAGTAAGAGTTGGATGCTTTCTATTCTTCTTCTATTAAATCTTCCTGTCACTTTTCTGCTATACCATGCCTTGCCACTTCCGGTATGTCTACACTGGGAAATTATTTCAAAGTGAGATATTGCGAAATAATAACTCCTGAAATAACAATTTCAAAATAGTGCTATTCCTCTTCACAAGCAGGCGTTATTCTTTCAAAATAACAAGTCTGTTATTTCAAAATAACGAGCTTGGTAGTGTGGATGCTCACGTTGTTATTTCAAAATAACTCCCACGTGTAGACATGACCTCAGTGTAAAAATTACACTCAGTTTTACTACCCGATGAATGTCCAACTGGCCATCACTTAAGCCCATACACTTGCTTCACAGCCTAGAGACACCCACACTTCACTACCATGTCTGTTTCAGTCGCCAATGAATTTGCTCCTGTAAGAGCCCACTGGTTTTTACAGACAGGAAGGAGCTCCGTGAAAGAAGCACAGTATCCACCAGAGCAGTTGGCAGCTGCGATTCACAACCAGGGACCTGGTCAGGTAGATTGAAGCACCTGAACGTTACGTTTTAAAGTGTTGCAGTGGTTTTGTTTTGCGTATTGAATGTAAGGCCTTTAGGAGATGCTGATTTGTTGTTTGGGAGGCAGGGGAAGAAATCAGTCAAGATCTAAAATAAAAGCGTAAAATCAGGTTGAGAAAGTTAACTTGTGGTATGCCCGGAACACCGGAAATGAAATGAGCACATTGTCACAAGGTGCCGTTCCATTTTTGCCCTCTTTTTGTTTTTGGCTTTCCCCTGCCTGTTTCTTCTGATCTCAACCAGTCTTTGGATTCCTTGACCACACCGTTTATGGCTTTAGGTAGGTTTCAGTAACACAATTTTACCTCAGTTGTGTGTTTTGAAGCAGGCAAGAGGTTTCAACTTAAAAATAAAAAGTCCCTTTTTGGGTTTGTCTGATCTGGAAAGTTATCTGAGTGTCTGCTAGGCTGTGAGCGTCTGCAGGTTTCGATTGTACCAATTGTGCTCATTATTAAGTCAGCCTTAAAATAGCAAAGGCCCCAGACAGTTTTTGTTTTACTAACACCAAAACTGAAAATGACCAACTGATAAATCCCGTAATAAACTGTTTGCAAGCTCCTCCTTTGACTCTCTCCTTTAGCTCTGGAGATTCAATTTTGTGCACAATCCATCCTGAGGGGGGAAATGGTGAAAATAAACCAAGGGCCAAATTTATAGAAGCTGCAGAATGACTCAAAGCCAAGAAAGATGCAAATGCAAGACCTACAATTGCTTGCAAACCTCCCTTATTTGGGAGCACGCGTATGGATGCCCATGAATATGAAAGTCAGCCTCCCGATTTGAATAAATCAATGCCAGATCCCTCAAGGTGTTGATCATCCCCTCACTACCAACCCCACCCCGACTTCAAGAAGCTAAGTGCCTTCATCTCCCAAAGGAGTCCCTGGCAGTTGAAAAGATCCAGCAAAGACCACCAAAAAAAAAAAAAGCTGCAGAAGAAATTTGTCAGTCTGCTCCATCTAATCAGTTTAAATGTGACCTGTTGATACTTTTAATATGTCAAACATTTTACTCTGTTTCACCTAGAATTTCAAGAACCTCTTAGTGAAATTGTAGGGCCAGTGATATGCAGGAGGTCAGTCTAGATGATCATAGTGGTCACTTGTGGCATTAAAATCTATTAATAGAGCATCACAATCTGTTAAACATAGTTTTAAGGTGGCCAGGCCAAAAAAGGCTGAGCTGAAAACCAGAATTCAAGGGGTCTAAAATCACACAAGTAAATTACTAAGCATTGAGGTAATTGAAAAATACACCTCTATGCAATGTACACAAAAGAGAAGCTTTGGCACCTAAATTTGCAGTTGATTCTCCATAGAATAATGATTTGGGGGCACGCTTTTTAAGTTAAGGCAATCTTCTCCATAAATGATAAGCTCTTTTGTATTTACTTAGTAGAAACTGCCTGCCTGTAAACATGATTTTGAAATAGTCTGTCATTGCCCATTTATAAGAACCAGAAAAAATAATCATTCTGGTGAATAGAGGTACAGAGAAAAGCGTAAGATGCCCACTATTAATACCCCAAACAAGTTGTTGTTACTGTAACAACCGAAGGTGTGTCTACTTTTCTGTTCAAGCGGAGATGGACTTCAAAAAAGTTTGCATTATTCCTTACACTGAACTTAATTCATCAGAACAACAAGAAGTCCTATGGCACCTTACAGACTAAGGGGGGGGGGTAATGT